ACGTAGGCCTACCTAAATTGTGATTTCCTGGTTGTTGTTTTTTACAGGACTACAAAGCAGACGAAGACCCGATGACATGCGACTCTGGATTTGGAAACTGTCTCCTGACTGGCAGGTACAGGGTGTATATTCTGCGAGCTTTGTTTTAGTTTCTGTTTGTTAGGTTGTCGGGCTGTTTGATTGGTTGTTTGTTTTATTTTTGTTTAGTTCTGTTTGTTTGCTTTTGCTTATATTTCGGGTTTTTTGTTTATTGATTGATTGACGTTACAATTCTAAGTATAGTTAGATAAACATTTCATGATTTCAGCGCATTGACTGGCCAGTAGAACTTGAAGTTTGAACTTCAATTGACTTGTAATGATGCGTAACCGCTTTATAATGGCTCAATACAAGTTCTTATTCCGTGCAGCTGTGACGAAACGACCACCGCTTTGTCCGATATGCATGTTTAGATTGTTATTAGTAGTGATGGTCGATTAGGATTTGGAACATTGTCGATTTTGGGCTTGTTCAAAAATTCCTATAATTATTCTCTTACAGAAAAGTTCGGTTCGTATGTGCGTCTACAAAATGGTTGAAGTTGAGTTCCTGTGGTTTGGCCTGCAATTCACGGTGGAAAGTCAGACACAAGAGGTTTCTATAGTTTCATATTTAAACTAGTACATTTACTTAGTCATCTCAATGAGCAAACCAACAATATTTTCAATTCTAACCCGATTACGTTCAGTTGAGGTTCACACCATGAGTATCCTTCATCATTTAAAGGGCCCATGAAGTGAATACTTCTTAACATATTTTGTGCAACTTTCTAATCCTCTTTAATGCATGCAAACTATTCGATATCCCTGTCTGGTTAATTAATTGAAAAGTTCACTTCTTTAATTTTGTTTCATTTTCCATGCTCCGAACAATTGAGGGCGCTTTGCTGTGACGTCATTTCAGGAAGACACGGTTCATCTTAGGGTTTTTTCTTTTCAAAATGAACCCAAACTTTGTTCATTAAAAACATTGGTGAGAAAAAAATTGCTCAGTGGCTTACTGCCATGTACCGACACAACAACGAATCACTATTAAAGGAAAGAAAATTTACGACAGCGAAATATCAAACAATCAGGCACCTTTTGGTGCTGAAAAAAAGGTTGTAAAATTTAGTTTTTTGCCTCAAACGACATCACACTTTGCTCATGAAAACGGATATTTGCATTAGCATAAAAAAACAGAAAAGGCACCAAAATAGTTTGAAAATGGCAAACCGAAAATTAGAAAATATAGGGATAAAATTACGGGACACAAAGGTGAATTTCAAGGTTTGCATTTAAATAAAAAAAAATAAAAATCTATGGGCCCTTTTTAGTTTAACCTTTAATATACATTTTCATTATTCGTCTTTCTATATCTGCAGCTCACAAGATCACCTAAAGATCATCTAAAACGAAGATCATCTAAAACGAAGTTCGTGAACTTAATAACCGTGAAGGAAAATTGGCTGATACCGTCCCTCCCCCTTCTCTCTCTGTCAATGAACCTTCTGCAGGTCACTCCGAGGTATCTCAGGAACCTCCATCGCCAGATGTTCTGCTGGGCAGATAGGCCTAAGTGGATTCGCTTATCAATCGACGATATCCGAGAAATGGAACCCAAACTTGGAGACGACCTAAGCAAGGTAATTCAAACCTATTATATTTCCGAGGCTATGTTGTAATCGCCACACTTGTTCTTTGTGGGTGCATTTTGTGTCTTCACAAAACTAAAGAACATTGTTGGTTCTTTGTTCTGTGTAATTGGTAGCGGAAACGTTTTACTTACACTTAGCATGTAAGAAATACAAACGTCTGCGTGTGCAGGTGGTTTCTATTTTTGCATCCGTTTCTGTAGTTTAAAGGGAATATAACATTTGCTTGCCAATCTCATAAACTACTTTTCGTTGAAAAACTTACTGAAATTGCTCAATCCATTCAAAGTAGCCTATATCACTATTTAAACACTCCCTAAACCCTCTTTCGTCCTTGAAAAATGCGATTTAAAGAATCGTCTTCACAATTGTCTTCAAACATCACCAGCGATAAAACCTCAGTTTAAAAGTTAGAAATATTCAACAAAGTCACTTTGAAGGCCCGTCTATAAAAAAAGGGGGATTTTATAAATCAAATTGTTTGCCCAAGCAGCTGGGTTGTTAATAAATATATTGTTTACTACAGTTGTTGACAGTTGTTGAAACAAGTATTCTGTATCAAATTTCTTTATTGTTCCAAGCAGTCAGAACACACAATACATTTTTTTGTGTTTGAAACTAGGGTTTAGGGTCTTTACGTTCAAATGGCGATTTTCTTGAACAGATTGAACAATTTCAGTATTTTTCCATCTAAACGTAGGTTGTAAAATTGGCTTTCCAGTCATTTTATTTTTGGTGCTACATTTTTTTGTTTAATGTGAAATGCATTTTGGGGGGTTTGGTTCCGCTTTTTTTTTCTCACCCTGTACAATTATTTCATCTGACAACGTCTTTAAATGACTATCATTCTTAATGATTTCATTAACGGGCAAAAAATAAGGGATGTTTGTGGAATGAGATATGGTACTACAAACGGCAATTAACGATGACTGCAATGAAAATCTACGTGGAAAAAAAAACACGATACTCCTGCAGCTTATTACTGGTGTGAAGTACGCTACACAAAAATACAACAATTACAGAGGCAACTATATAGGAGATATATCAGATAAACAAATTAGATCTTATAAACTTTGCGTACTATGTAAGCTAGTTTGAAGTCGCTCACAATTTGTGACCAGCCATAGCGTAATGAGGAATAACCCCCACCTTTGACTTTTCAAGTTATATACATCATGTTAAAGCGCAAATCATTAGCTTTCCAATGATACCAAATTTATTTCTGTAGCTGAATTTATTCCAAAGATATGTCGCAGGATCTTCAACAGTGTCCCGCTAATCTTCGCCAACCTCATTTCGAGAAAAACGGCTTTGAGAAAAAGATGCGCATTGCGCCGCCAACGACAGTGTTAAACGTTCTTCCGTTTCTCCACTTTTTGGGGTATGTTTTTCCCAACAAAATTGCACGGTGTGAATCTTGGGTACCTTGACTGCACAAAAATACATAACAACCAATATCAATTTTGACATGATTTTTCTACTATATCCGACTTTAGGCCAAAAAAAAAAAGTCTCCGGTTTCTGGTATGGAGCTTGCCCCAAAAGTGGTGCGGCGACGCGGCTTTTTTTTCTTTTTTTACCTGTTTTTTTTTTTTTTTTTTTGCTTCAAATGTCGGCTGATGACTGCAAATGGTGCCCGACTAAACTTAGTGCAAATATATGGGAGTCCAGAGAGGCCACATAAATCTTATTCTCGATCATGACCTCATCTTAAAACACGTTAAATTTGTGCAGCAGCAGAATTCCAGTCAAACCAGTGAGTTTGGCGGTTTTGAAACATCATCTTGTATTGAAAAAAAAACTTTTTCATTTTGCCGACGCGCATGGCTACGGCGACGCGCGCGCATACCAGAAACCGGAGACTTTTTTTTTTTGGCCTTAGGCGTCGATTACTCAAAACAAGGTTTTGGAGGACATTCCTCATTTGCCTCAGTAGGTCACATTTGTCAGACATTTTTTGGGAGTATATTATTTCATGAATTCAATACAAATTCATTAGGTAGTAGGGGTTCAAGTATTTGGTTAATGACTGGTATTCTAGATGATTCTATGACATTATTTGGCTTGACTTATTGGTAATTTTTAGATTCTAGTTATTGATTTCAGCAAATCCCAGTTGTAATTCAGGTAATGACATGACTCTACTAAAAAAACATTTGGTTTTGGTCTAGTTAACGGTGTGGTATGATTTAAACTAATATGGCATAACATATACTTATAGCTTTAATTATTCACAGTGCTTATTACTTATGCATATAACCTTTTTAAAACATGGTTTGATTGTAGTTAATGAGAAAGATATTCTTTAGTTAATGGCTTAAATTGATGGTATGATTTTTCGCTGGTTTAATGACATGGTTTGAATTTGGTGAATAATATAACGGACTGTGTTCACAATATATCACGCATGATCAACTTGATCAAACGAAACATCTGGCATGTCTGGTACTAGTCTCTATTTCTACACATTTTTCCATATTCAGCCATGTACCAGACTTATGGCAATGAATAAAGCGGTAAGTCTTTCAAATAGTTGGACCATGGTTGGTTGGCCAGTCTTCAGCCTCATTTTGAAATCACTTGACTTCCTTCTCATGTGGAAAATACTGAAGAAAAGTCTCCTATAAAAATTGAATTGATTCTTCAAAATTGGTTGGTGAAATACTTAGGACCATTTCTTTGCCAAAAACAAATTTTGGAGAACTTTGCTAGCTAAAGAGAGATTAAAGCCCGATTTCGTGTTGCCTATTTTCAGCACTTAAGGTCCATGAGGAAAGAATTTCATATAGGTACGCCACTTGACACCCTGTGTACAAACCCTATGAGTCTGGTCTGAAAAAATTCTCTGTTTTCCAACTAAATGATTCAATATTTTCCCTGCCAAATTTCACTTTTTAGGACATGTTAATTGTTATTCCTATCTGGTGGTTGATGAGTCATTGCAGGGAGAGACTAGTGGAATTCCGGAACAAAAGAACGCTATCAGTCTACATGTATACGTTGTGTGGAGTTTTGCTGTGTGGCATAAAAATCCATTCCTATAATACCACAAAAAGGAGGGTCTTGCCCCGCCCCCTGTAGGGATAAAGGTAATCGAAGGTCACATACCTGGACCGGGTGTGACGTCATTGTACCTACTTAAAGCGGCAGTGGGTACATGGCAAGATCACTTGTTCTAAGATCAATTACAGAAGTTAAGTTCGGTAAAAAAATTCTCAGGTATTGTTTAAATTCACAGAATTAACATGTGTTCTTGATAAATGACGGAGGAGGAGCGAAACACTTGGCATCACTGTTTTAGTAGAAATAAAACAAGCCAACAAGTAAGTATAATATCACTTCCATACACATAAGTTTTTTATTAAAATATTCCCAAACTGTTTACAGATTGGTCATAACTGAATAAATGTAATACTGTTGTAGAAAGCAATAAATACTCATTAAGGATTTAAGTTACTAAACAATCTTAAGTCTTAAAGAAACTAAAACTCTTAAATTAAATTAAACAGCCATTGAAAATGGCAACCACTGATGCCAGAGACTAACACCTAAAGTAATTTTGCACATCTCCATGAGAGTCCCAAATATCAGGAATATTTATTCGTCAACCAAATATTTGAACCGCACTTTCATGAAGGTGGCCGCTGCTGGTAAAACTTGATCAGTGAGTTTTGAATATTCGAATATTCGGTCAAGTGCAGTTTCTAATAATCGAATACCAAATTATTTGAAAACAGACAGCCCTACAAATGTCCGAAGTAAAATGGGAGCCATACAGTCTGCAGCAAGATCTAGAATGTAAGACTGATCTTGGTGTCTGCAGTCAAAGTGAAATGTACTGCATTGCCATGGTATATCCCCCTAAAAGAAACAAAATTAAGAGCTAACAGTCCATATATCGTCACCGGTTTCACGAAGGGATGGGCATGTCAAAATTGACAATTATTTCGATTTTGATTTTTTTTCACTATTTTGCTTTAAAACACGGTGCTTAAGCATTCTGACATGTTTCCGCAAGCAAAACATCATTAATTCCTGAATAAATTAATGACATCTGGGGCAGGCATCTCGATAATTGCATTATGCGATTTCACGAAGAGACGCGAACATGCATGCCCCCGTGAACACGTACAAAATGTAGTGCATGGAAAGGCAGTAAAAGTAGGTCATCGGGGATTTTCGTTTTCACGAAGGGACAGGCATCTTTGTTACATTCTCAGCTGCGCACGCATAATCGAACACGCACGCCCTTCCCTATGGAAAAGCACATTAAACAAGAAGGGCGTAAATGTTGAACAGTTAGGTATTCGTTTTCACAGAGGGACAGGCATCTTTACTAATTAATTTTGGCTAACTAACCACTGTATTAATTATAATTACTGGGTTCAAATTAAAGTTTACCTATCCAAGAATTACGTCAAGGTTTCCTTATTGCATAAAGTTGTTGCAAAGTAGTAGTTTTTGCTGTTTTAAAAACGAAGAAATTTCTCTTGCGATTTGCTCAAAAATGGTTTTTCTTCAAAATCCACATGCCCGTCCCTTCATGAAACCAGTGACGATATGTCTTTTACAGCTTGCAAATAGCCCTGATGAGACATGATGTCAAAGGTCATGGGAACCAGGGATGAGAGCTACCAAGCCCTTATAGAACAGGGCACATGTCAACAAAGAGTGACATGGTTATGTTGTAGGTCTGGTATGACCTGATTTGATTAACTGAACTACAATTTGTTAAAACGTTCGCCCTCATTTCCCCTCAAATGAATCACTCAAATGAGACTGGAATTTCTTCTTTTAAGAATGTCCATGGTTTTGTACACACCAAGATTTAACTTTTTTTTGTTCCTTTTTTTCCACATTAAATTAAACACTTTGTTAAACATCAAAAGCACACAACGACCACATATTCAAATTTTCAGGGCAACAATAAACACCAGCAGTTCTCATCAAATATAAGACGGATCGCTAGTTATGCATCTCTGTATAAAAGCAAAAATGTCAAGACAGTTAAACATAATATTCGCAGAACATTTTGTTGAAATGTCTTTAAACTTTTGTCTTTGACAGCTCAATCGCACTTTGTCATAACAAACAACACTTTTTATGAGTGCGCAACCTTTGAAGTCATCCAATTTTACTTCTTGCCATTTTTGTTGGCCCCATTCTTAGCTTTGCTTGCACCCTTTCCACTTTCTTTCTTGGCCTTCTTCTCTTCCTTCAGTATGTGCTTCTTGAGAGTTTCCTTGTAAGACAAAATATCACCTGTCCACTTGGTAACCGTTTTCTTCTCACACACCCAGATCTCCTTGGCAACCTTATAAACCAAAAAGAAAATGTGTATTTAACACCTAGCATTGGAATTGAAAATTATGTGGAGGAATTTTGTCTTAAAGTGAAATTTGGACCCAACACGTTGTGAAATTACTGTCTTGCATAATGTCATGCAATTCGGGCGATTCACAATGCAGTGCGCCACCAAGAATTTGCCATGGAGAGTCCATTTTTCAAGTTTACTGTCGACAAAGCATGGCCCATTTGAACGAGTGTCAGTAGACAACTTGAGCTATTTTGTTATAGATTGGGCTTTAGCGTTCTGCCACCTTACAAAACACCACCATATTGATAAAAAGATAATAAAAGGGAAAACAGATACTCGATTCTACGCCTACAAAACTACTGACTGGAAAAACGAACAATTTCAAATGTCCCGCGCTGCGAATTTGTCGACCATCTCCCACACTGCACTGGACAAAATGAACTCTCCGTGGCAAACCCTTGGTGGCACACTGCATTTTGAATCGCCCGAATTGAGGGTAGTTCTCAAATGCTCTTTTGACATTCCTCCTAGTGTATATTCAAACCTAGACTCGGGGCCAAATTCAGTCTTGGATGCCATAGTAACTGGAAAATCCAACACTTAGCAAGCTTACAATCGCCCAATGGCCCAAGCCGAAGGCAAGGGACATAATTAGCCCCTAACCGATTCTAAAAGCACTTGTTTAATACCGGCCAAGCACATCCCATTCATAAATACCTTTCGTTTATAACATGTAAAAAGTTCACAACTTTCCAACAATTTAGTTCGACTCTTTTACTTCATGTTTTGTGAATCAGCACTCTAGCCAAGTCTACGGTAAGTGCCTCATGGGCAAAGTACTCAAAATCTCCTTATATGAAAATTGGCGTGTGCGCGGTGTAGGCCTAGCGCGGTGCGTACTGCTTGATGTGGAGCAGAACACAGCGGCGTATTACCGGCAGTTTAAAACCACCCACATGACGGGTTCTCAACCAATAGGAATTGGTAAACTCTCTCAGGTATTTATGAATACAGATTTTTTTTTAAAGTTGAAATATTGTGCCCACCTGGTTGATCAATCTGAAGTCGTGACTGACAAGAACAAGCCCGCCCTCAAAATCGTTGATAGCGTCAGCCAGAGCGTCTATGGTCTCAATATCCAAATGATTGGTAGGTTCGTCTAGGAGTAACATATGAGGACTCTGATAGGACAACCAGGCAAATATACACCGACATCGCTGACCATCCGAAAGGTTACGTATAGGACAGATCTGAAAAGGTAAAACAAACAAAAAAAGATTTTAATGATCAACAAATGAAATATATTGCTAGGCAGAGTTTCAATTTCTATTTGCAGAAGATGAATTCAAAATGGAGTTTTCCACTTTCATTTATTATAATGATTTCCTTACGTTGGTTTGCTTTAGCTATTGTCATCAGTTAACCTTTACTCTCAAAGGCAAGGAACTTTTCTGAATCCTACCAAATACTCAACTGTGCAGGCAACCTATGGCATATTCTTTGTACTGGAACTTTCAAAGGGAACCTGGTCCCATGGAATGCAACACCAAAAGGGCTGCAGCTTTCTGTGAAATCCTAGCAAACTGTTTGGTGGATTGTGAAGGGATATGGAAGGGTTAGGGTAATTGCCGTACATCAAATGCAGGTTTGGTGCTTTCTTAACCACCTAGTGGGAAGTCCATATTCAGAGTAAGTTGTACAACCTTTAAAAGCCTTCAGTTTATATGTATGTCACACAAAAAGTCACTGCTCACAAACAAATGTGCCTGCTTGCTCTGAGCTTAACCTCACACAAAAATTGTGCAGGAAGTGCTATCCACACTCCACAGAAGATTACCTCGAAGGAATTACAAGTGTGGGTGTGGTGTTGCAAAATTTGAAGGGTTGTGAAGTGGAGAAGACTAAGAGGGTGAACGGCGAAGGGGGTACATTTATACGGAGTCCAACTGTTTAGTTTACCTGTTGCTTGCCAGTCAGGCCGTACCGTCCGATAATTCTCCTCATTTTTTCTTCCTCTTTGATTTCTGGAAAATTCTTATTCATCCATTCTAAGGCACTCATGTCTAGATCAAGCAGGTCTTGTAAATGCTGTAAGACAAAAAAAAAAGACGTGACAATTTACCTATATGTACCTTGATTGCCCTTCATTTTTCGGGGGGGGGGAGGGGGGTTGTTATGGGGGTTTGGAGTTTTCTTGTATTTTCCAAATCCTCCTATATGCATAAAATCAATGGTTTAATCTTTGTACATGTATATAACTTTCAAGGGTCATCAAGTCCTGTGTACAGTATTATACCAATATAACATGGTTTGAAAGTGTATAGTTGATATTATTAGCTGCCTGAGGTATAGTTTGTCAACTTCCAACACTGGAAAAAAGCAAATGTTGCAGCAGACAGGTGATGGTGAGTGGACCTGTGAGAAATTGGCTCTTGATCAGGAATATGTATGAGGTATAGTAATAGTAGCTGGACTCTAGCTTGGTTAATCTTGCAAAATCGTCCAGGGGATTTCGAAAGATCTGGAAAGATTAGTTTACCAGTTTCATAATAAATGGCCTTTCTTCCTGTCACCCTGATCACCTCAGGCTGTTTACAATTTACACTCTGAAGTCCTTACCTGATGATATCTACCAATTCGTAGATGAGAATTCTTTCGTATAAGTCCGTCTGTTGGGTGCAGTTCTCCGACAATGAGCTTGAGTAGAGTTGACTTGCCGGCACCGTTGGGGCCCACTAACGCGACCCTACTGTCGAGATCCAGACCAAACTCTACATTCTTGTAGATGTGTGGCTGAAGAAAAAAGGGGGGAAAAAAACCATCATTGTCATTGCTGAGGGGTGCTTGAATACCACTCCTTTCAAACAATCAAGTGTGCAAACCAAACAATCTCAAACTCTGCCCCTTCAGGTTGCTAAGAGAATTCCTGGGTTGGAAGAGATATCACGGTAAAGTATCTTGCATAGGAACACAGGAACTGTGTTCCACTGAGCTCAACATGCAACCTGCTCTGGTTTCCAATTTACATGTAATTACCTCAACCAACAATAGCACTGAAAATGTTACGTCCATTGGGAGAGGTGATTGTGATAAAGTATCTTGCCTAAAGACACAGGTGCTGTGTACGACTAAGTGCACGAGTGACAACTTTAAATTCTAGGGCTTTGGTGCATGTATTTGTTTCATACAGGGCGAGTCAAAAAAAGCGGAACCCAAACCCCACAAAATATATTTCATATATACAAAAATATGTAGCACCAAAAATAATAATGACTGGAAATCCAATTTCATAAGCTACTTTTAGATGAAAAAATTACTGAAATTGCTCAATCTTTTAAAAGAATATCACCATTTAAACACAATAACCCTAAAACCTGTCTGCAGGTTTTAGGGTTATTGTGTTTACATGTTGATATTTTCTAAACGCACTGACCAATTTCAGTCATTTTTTCATCTACAAGTACCTTATGAATTGGCTTTCGAGTCATTATTATTTTTGGTGCTACATATTTTTTAAAATATGAAATATAATTTTTGGGGTTTGGGTTAAGCTTTTTTTTACTCACCCTGTACAATACAGTTTTTTTCTTGGGTGGTGATGTTTAATAATATGAGTATTACCTTGTCTTCAGCATATTGGAAGGACACATCCTGGACCATAATCACAGGAGGTGGAATCTTGTCCACTTCAGGGAAGTAGAATTCTATTGTCTGCAACAGAAATACAAAAATAAGTCGGCTGAAAGCACTTCTCTAACAGTTTGTTTTTATTATAATGTCATCATCTGTATGTCAGGGTGATAATGGGGAAAATACAAAAATCCACAAAAGTATGTGGCCGAGCAATAGACCAACATGGGGTCCATTTCTTTATATCGAGAAGCCTAACATGGCACCCTTAGAAACTGCAGATTACCATTGTACACTTCCCAATGCAACAAACCCTGTGACCCAAAAAAGAAACAAATACAGTGATGAGAACTATTCCTATCTTATTTTTTTTATACTGACAAATCTGGGAAATTTCAGAAAATGATAACACCTCAGATAACTCTTACCTTATCTGTAACCACTTTCTCAGTCAACCCTGCTTCCACCATTTTTCGTAGCGTCTTCTCTTTGCTCTGAGCTTGACTGGCTAGCTTGGCGTTACCATGGCCGAACCTAGCGACGTAATCCTGACAAACAGAACAACAAAATGGACCCAATTTTACAACTTCCTGTTAGATCAAAATGACCTCTTTGAATGAAACACAGGCATGCAACTGGAAATTTGGCGAAAAAAAACGAGGAAATTCCAACCACACAAGACTTTGTGCAGTGTTTTTCATTATGTAATGGCATTTATGAGAAGTAAAAAACGAGGAAATCAGCGGATCTGAGGAAAACTTACATGCCTGAATAGAATATTTAGTTAGCAGTGTATTTCAGGGTTTTTAAATGAAAAATGGGAGAGAAAACATAAGAACTGAAATGAGAGTTGTGAACTTGGTTTACTCTGACTAAACAAATTGACCATGTCAATGATGACGACTGAATTCTTAATCTACCTTCATGTGTTGTATCTGATCCTGCTCCCAGTTATATTTCTTCATCTGATTCTCCTCCAACTCCTTTCTGGTTTTGACGTAGCTGTCGTAATTCCCCTGAAAAAAAAAATGACAAAATTGTGTTTCGTGATCAAAAGGTTGTGCATCGTTTGCACTGTTTTCTCAAAAATTTAGTACATGTATCCACTGAGCTGAAGCTTTAACAGGCCCGGTTTTGAACATTCTTATTTGGATTATGAGTGGTGTTATTATTGGAAACGAAAAAAATGCATGAAAAGCAAATGATTGTATATGCCTTTCAACACAATATGAATAGACTAACCACTCAACTAAAGAAGATCCAACTAAAAGTAGCTAGCTGTTGGATTCTGTTGGATTTTCTAGATTCTGTGGGGTTTGGGAATTGACTTACACTGTAATAGTTGAGTTTACCCAGGTGCATATGGATAATGTTGGTACACACACCGTTCAGGAAGTCTTGAGAGTGCGATATGAGGACCAGTATTCTCGTATAGCTGTGAAGACAATGTGAACATTAACAATTCGTTAAAGAAAATTACTTTAAAAGAACAAGCATAGAAGAGGGAAAACTTGTAAGTTAGCACCTCAATAGAAGGACTGTTATTGTTAATCTTCAAGTAGATGTGAGCATGGGGGATATCCAAGGCTGTTCCTAGCCTTGGTCAAGGTGTTTGAGATCAAGTGTCCGATGTTCGACTCCTAACATAAACAACGTTGCAAGCCATGCACTCACATATACTGTACGAAGTGTGAACAGCGACCTCCCTTGACTAGGCTACAACACAAGGCTAGGCCTGGGAGCAAACGTGCGCCTTGGCTTATGGTTTTCTTTCTTTTGTTGCTGGATTTCCAGCGATGACCTCGTGTGCGAATAAAGATGAGATTATTATTCAGTACTTGGTTGTGGGGGTTCAGATTGTACATGGACCATAGAGATGGACAGTGTGGCTAAATTCTCCAACAAGTTTGAAATCCTCAGACCGAATATAACTTCAAATAAATCCAGCGACAAACTAACAAAAATTTCTTAAAAAACATAGGCCATTACATTCGTTCTGCACAAACTGATTGTCATTATGTAGCCTAGCTGCATGAGGTCGCTGTTTGCGCTTCGACAGTACATGTGAGTGCCTAGCATGTGGCTACTGTTTTGTTTAAAAGCGGCGAACCATCGATTATCGGACACTATCGCAGGACACCTTGACCCAGGCTAGGCTGCTCTCAGCAGCAACCAGGAAAGCCCATAGAAAGCTCCCAAAATGCCCTCTCCCAATCAATTCAAAGATGTCTTATGAATCCAAGCTCTTATCGTTCTATCAACTTTCTATTTTAACTTTAACATCATATTTATCCTGGGTAGTTTCATTATCAATTTTCTTCTAAGGTCCATTCACTTCCTTGGTTAGACAGTTAAGGACTTTTGGTTAAAAAAAAGGGAAAATTCCAAGTAGTCTGAAAGAATCCAATGCAGTCGCATTGCTTTGGTGGAAATCCAACCAATGTCACCACAGATTGAAAGCTGAAATATCCACAAAATCGTGAGCTTACTTTTTCAGTTCCTCCTCTAACCACACGCAAGCCTCCAGGTCCAGATGATTGGTGGGCTCGTCCAATAGTAACATATGCGGCTTGACAAAGAGCGCCCTCGCAAGAGAAATCCTCATGCGCCAGCCACCAGAGAAGTCACGGGTCTTGGTGTGCATCATGTCGTGAGTGAAGCCGAGACCGTGGAGGATGCGAGCCGCCTTGACTTCAGCATTGTCCGAGTCCATCTCGTCAAGACGCTCATAGATCTCCATCAGTGTGTCTTCAGCATCTGCAATGAGGAAAGATGGTGATGACGGGTCAAAGTGGTGACAACTTAATCTTTCACCACTATGACACCCATGACAGCACCCCTTCAAATCTTGACAAACCAAAATATGGATTGATACATACTGCTGATAAGGATTTCAGCTCATTTAAGAGGGGACAAAACTCCACCCCCATACATTTGAGGGGGGGGGGGGTAAATAACTGCCCTTTGATATTATCCTTTGAATTTGTAGACTAATGTCTCTCAGACACAAATTGTATAAAATTCGGACACAGAGTTACCTCAAAATATCAAAATTTGACACAGGGAAAAACAAATCATTGCTTTTGGTCAACAATGTTCAGGAAAATGCAGTCCATTTGCACTCATTCACCAACAGAAATACGGATGCCCAATGATCATAATTATTACAAAACACTTTGTCAAACTATAGGCGGGTTCATACTTCACACGAATGTAAATGTGAAATACTTTGCCATTACAAAACATTTGCTAAGAACTTCACCACAGTTAAAATGTGTTCAACTTTTGCGAATTTGTAGGGCATACACTTGCCATGACATTTCAAATTGATGTTCGCATTTGTGTGACCTGGCCTTGAGTTAAACTTTGCATAATTATGTCCCATGAAAAATCCTACTAGCATATTAAAGGGAAGATACAACATTTGCAAACATCAAAAACGAAATGATCAAATTATAACGAAATGCCTTACTGAATTGTTAGGGACTGACAGTCCAAATCATCCTTTAAAATCGTGGCTCCTGGTGTGCTGACATTTTCAAGAAAAACTGTATTTTTCCAACGCTGGTCGGCTGACCAGCATTGGAGAAAACTGACTTTTATCAAAAACTGTTCCTAAGTTTACATATTTAGTTATTCTGACTTTTCTTTGCAATTGATTACACACCTGTGAAGGGGTACAAGCCTGCTAGACTGATTCTCTGAGCCTACAATTCCCCAAGTGTATTAATTGCTCTGTTTCATTTTAAGTGGGGTCAGGGAGCCAGACTACAAGAACATGATAGGTTTTTTTGGTTTTTCCAGCGTCTACAAGCCCAAAATGTGAAACAAGTCAGTTTAACAATATTTTCAATAACATACTAATCCTCCAAATCCATTTATTTCTGAAAATTACAGCAAAAGCAAATGTTGTACATTCCCTTTAAACTTCATGAAAATCTGTCAGTTTGTGTTCGCGATGTTCCCCCTATCACGTGTGACCCCACCCATCCTACCTTGTCCGTCCAGATGAGCTAGCTCTTCTGCCTCTCTCTCCAGTTTTACTCTCAACTCATCCACCTCCATCACACACTGTAAAGCCGTCTTGTCCGAAGCAGCTATCTCCCTCTTCAAATGAAAGATGTCAAGGTGGTCCGGGATGGGAACCTCCCGATTCCCCAGGGAGGATAAGAACGAGGATTTACCTGAAAAAAGAACAATGAGAAATACCCAATATGATGCTTTTTAATTTGATATATATATTTTTGGGGGGGGGGGGGCAGGTACAATTATATAAACCTTTCCCTCACCGGTCTTCTTGTTGCACTGTTTTTATTTTAGAGAATCCAACAACAGAAACATTGGTACCCCACTAACTTAAAGGGAAAATACAACATTTGCAAACATCAAAAAATAAAACTACCAAATCATTTTGAAATACCTTGCTGGACTGTTAAAATCATGGCACCTGGTATACTGTCATTTTCAAGAAAAGTGGTATTTTTGTATCAATTTCCAACGCTGATCGGCCGATCAGCGTTGGAAAAAACTGGCTTTTTTTCAAATACTGGCCCCAATTGACCATCGCACTTGTTTGCATTCGATTACACACCTATGAACGGGTATGAGCCAGCTAGACTGGTTCCCTGACCTTACCATTCCCCAATGTATGTGAACTGCTCTGTTTCTTCTTATATGGAGTCAGGGAGCCAGACTACAGGAAAATGATCGTTTTTCTTGGTTTTTATAGCATTTTCGAACCCAAAACCTCAAAAAAGTCAGTGTAACTATATTTGCTTTATATTTCCAACCCCCCAATTCCATCCATTTCTGAAAATTATAGCAAAAGCAAATGATGTATATTCCCTTTAACAAAGCAGACCTTCTTTCAGTCACTTCTAAGATCAACAGAGGGCGCTTGACCATGGTTGGACATTTGTGAGAGTTAATATTATATATGACTTCAAGCTTTGCACGGCGGATGAGATCAATTATAAAGTTTCCGGGTAACACCATGTGGTGTTACCCGTAAACTTTATAAGTTATTTACAGTTAATATTGCTGGCACTTTTGCAATCTTTGATTCATTGGGATTTAATTATGGAAAAAAGTTAAAACAAAATATTTTCAGATCCCCAAGTCTACAAAATTAACTGTTTAGAAATGTTTTGAGAACAATCCTAAGGAATGGACCGTTTGACAGATACTGCCATCTTTGTAATCACATGGCAATCTTTGGGCCATTTAAGTTAAGGAGAATACACGAGAAAGTGTGGATTCGTAATTTAAGAATTCACGAGGCGCGAAGCGCCGAGTGAATTCGTAAATTAAGAATCCACACTTGCGAGTTTATTCTTTGACTTAAACCATTACGTCAACAGAAGTATTGGAAAGAATTCTGCAACCTGACGCCACTCTCTTCTTCATATATCATCTCAATGAAGGCCATTCGTTGCCAAAATGATGATAAGACATGAATCTGGGACTGATAAATGCTTCCAAAATTGTTAGGAAACACTTGAAATGACTCTCCATAGACATTGTACACAAGTGCGGACTGAGTGGCGTCAGGTTGCAACATTGTTGTGTATCGACACACCCGTACAACCAATTAAGTCATTTTGTGTGTATAGGCTCCTTACGTCAAGGATAGTTCAGACGACGATTTCTTTCTGACTAAAAGTAGATTTTGCAGTGACGGCGGAAAATCTGACAGTGAAGATGCATTGGTAATTTTAGAAAGCAAATTTTCACGTCCTATTCATGCTCATTATGGAGAACAAATGTCCGACATGTTCAAAGTGTGGATTCGTAATTCCGAATTCACACTTTACTCAAGATTCGTCGTTCCGAATCCACACTTTGTGACCAGTGTAAGAGATTCGTAGATCCGAATCCACACTTTTAACAATAGTGTGACGTCATAGCAATGGTTTAATTGAAAATACGTTCCATCATGCTGCAGAAACAATGGCATGAAGGGACATATTTACTACGTGATCACACAGATGGGGGGTATCCGTGTGTAACAAAATGGAACGTGAAAATGGGAAGATGCTGGAACTTGATACATACCGCAACCATTGGGGCCAATCAGTCCGTACCGCTTCCCACATGTTAACTCCACCCTGGTATCCTGAAACAACTCCACGCCATGGAACGTGAGTGAGTAGTTATCGATCTTCAAGTCCCTGCTGCTTGGATGAGATGAGAGAACACCGGTGCAGGCGCGGGCATCCGAGGCCATATCCAAGGAATCTAATTCATCGATTAGGCCATTCACACCATTTGAAGCTGCATGTGGACAGTGGTAAACAGGCGAAAATAGTAAACTAAATAGGTGCACATGGGCTTCATATTATACATTTCAGTGTGTTTGCTTTGATGAAGTCAATGCCTTGTTAAAATTAAGTAAAAGTTACCAAGCTCTACCTTGCTCCATTTTGCAAAATTTCCCTGAAATTAAAGTTTTTAACAAGCTACGTCATGTACGTGGAAAAGCAAGTTGCATCCTGATGCCCGATGCCACTTTTTTTACATATTATACATTGTGTTTATTATCTCAACGGATGGCTAAGCAATAAAGCAAACAAGTTCAACATATAGACCTTTCTTTTGTTTGTAAACATGGGCGCCATTTTATATGGGCTGCCGCAAGCGTATTAATGGAAGCCGTGGTTGGCAACATGTTTTTCCCAAAAAAGTCCCCTTTACGCCCTCAATACAAAGAAAAAAAAACATGTTTAGGAATTATGTTTTAGCTTTGTTGACAATATTGTATATCCAACAATCAAATAATTTTTTGGTTATTTGTAATATCTTCTTCACTTTTGCAGTTTTGGACCTTCCATAGTTTTGCAACCAGTGGTTGGCAAAAATGCAGTTTGTCAACCAAGCGTAGAAAGGTCTATTCAAGGGCAAAATCTGTTTAATTTGCCGCCCACCTTTGCCATTCGTAGCGGCCTTCCCATTGACTGCCTTGCCATTCACTTCTTTGTCTGTCTGCGCGGCCTGCGCACTGCCTCTTCTCTTGCTAGGGGGCGCTCTCTTCTTCGGCATGGTCAGTGATGTTGGTGGTAGAATTTACTTCAAAACTGTTCGACAAAAAACCTGCACGAAACAGAAACATACATGTTGGTCAACTCATCTCTTTTTAATAATAACCTTAACCCTAACCCTCCAGGGTATATTGGCTTGAAACCCTGCCAGACGCAGCAACATGCAACACTTGGCGAAATGACAAGCCTGCCCAGTGTAGCAAGATCCATCAGGCCAAAAGTCTCAAGGCCAAACTGCCTCAGAGTCTGTGGTCCCCCAACGTAGCAGGATACAACTCTGGCATTGTTCTATGGGACTAGCCCTCAGTGTCTTAGAAGTGGCCTGGTTTATGCACTGGTGTTGGTAGCATTTTCAATCAAAGTGCACCAGACTTTTCCACCTGATGCACTGTGATGCGTCTGGCAGGGTTAGGGTTAATTTTTGGGAAAGATTCCCATATCTGGCCATCACTTATTGTTCCCTTGGCTTCAGTAACTAAACATGTAGGCTTTCGAGTCAACTTGCACCTTTGGCAACTCGTACATGTACCTTGGACATCTCGTGCCTTGGACAACTCGTACCTTGGTCAACTCGTACCTCCTGTCATATCAGTTAAGACGACTCGTACCATGTAAAATATGTAAAGTACAGTATGCAAGTGACTATTTTTTGTGTGTACAAGTGCGTGGTTCCTTGACTCCCAAATGATACGATGCTTTCCAAGTCAAAGTTAAGTTCTATCCACATGTACTAGCATCAGCCATTAGCCCCGTAAATGTGGCCAATTTACTGGACTACCTCCGTAAACATAGGCCACACATCCACCATGTACAAAAACATGTTGCACTTTGTCAAATTTTGATTTTCACATTTAGGCTTAATTTGTACTCAATTGTAGGGTTTTTTGCTGAAATAGCATACTCACCCTCTTTACAGGCCAATCAGAAAGTGCTGCCTTTTGTCAGATGTCTATTTTTTGTGTAATTTCCAGATTTGTTTGCACACGTTTGCGTATCAAAATTTCAACATGAACATGATGAAATTTCATGAAAATTAGACATCCGGAAAAGGCTAATTAGCCTATGAAGAGGGTTAAGTATGCTTCTTAAGCATGTTAAGCAAAAAACCCTACAACAAACTAAGCCTAAAAGTGAAAATCAAAATTTGACAAAGTGCGACATGTTTTTGTACATGGTGGATGTGTGGCCTATGTTAACGGAGGAAGGCCTAGGCCTAGTCCAGTAAATTGGCCACATTTATTTTAGGCAGTGTATATTTTGCCGGAGACGGCAAACCTTTAGTAAACGTTAGTTTGCCGGATATGCACTGAACATGCGCAGTTACTGTTTTTTTGTACTTAAACATTTTCCGGTGACAAATTTTAGTCTGGCTCCATGCAAAAATTGTCGTTGTAACCTCGTATTCACAAGATGGGATTCAGACCATTATATAATTTCGGACTTTATTTCCCTTTTAAAACAAATCCTCCACGGCTCCAGAGCCACAAATCTGAAAAAGAAAATGTAATACTCTGCAAAAAAATGTTTGAGACATGTTAAAATAATAAGAGAAGAATATTCTTATTTATTTGGGGATGAGAAATTTTTTTTTAAATGTGCTGCGGTCGGAATCGAACGCGAGTCATCCCGCTTACTAGAGCCTTTGTTTAACCACTACACCAAACGTGCTACACAACTTTTGGTGGGAATTTAATACATCTTATAATTCAGCCCTATCTTAAAGAGTACAGCGCCCTCTGTTGATATGGATTACCGCCGGCAAACCTTTAGTAAACGTTAGTTTGCCGTCATTACCTCCGGCAAAATATCCACTATCTTTATTTTATGGGGCTAAGAAAAAACGTGTACAAAGTCTATGGGATTTAGTAAAAGAAGAAGAAAGATAAAAATGAGAACAGAAAGAAAGGCTTCTTCGCAAATTTGCGAAAAAAGCCAAAAATAATGCGTTGACAAGAAATGGACATGATTGATCAGTTGATGATAGGCTGAGCATGCTGCTGAGCACACAATAAAGCATGGAGGAACTTCAGAAAGGAATGTGACAAGTAGGCCCTACGTCTCATTTTTTGACAACCGATTTCGCGTTTTTCATTGTTTTTTTCTTTCATTAAAGATCATTAGAAAATGGTAGAAATGTTCCCTTATTCACTCTGCGAAATTCCCGATAAGATTTTGCAACAGAAATCACGTACTTACTGTGAAAACCGTGTAGAAAAAGGCGAACTCTGAGGACGAAAAGCCGGTCGGTCGCGCCAATATGCCGGATATGATGTCGCAATACCGTAGTCTGGCTCCAACACTCCCTGCGCTGATGATTATTGCTCATGAATGAAGAGTCGGATACAAGACACGTAGCAGGTGCATTAAACGCGTAACGGAAGTACTGCGCACGTGTGACGTACATGTATGACGTCAAAGTGGATTACCACGTGATCTCCAAATTATGAATGAAAAATGCTCAAGTGTTTGCATCTGGCGCGGCGCACGTTTCTTTTTTCATTGTATCTTTTTTTGGGGGGGGGGGTCAATACTGGGTCACAATAAAATCGGTAAAACGAAACGGTTAGATGGCTTCATGATAGCGCCCCCTATGTACACATCAAGTAGTGTACCTCCGAGTCGAGATTAACTTTTATCGGTGGGTGTTTCTCGGTTGAGTGGGGTACGTACGCGTGTTCTAGTGAGACTAGGTAAAGACTTAAATTACACGTGAAGTCGAAAAATTGTTCCCGATACTTGCTTAGTTTCAAAATTTTGACAAACTTTCCAATTTTTTTGCAGTCGCCCCCCCCCTCCCCCAAATGAGGACAGCGAAATAGTAGCACGCACTCAACTGCACAAAACTAGCGCTCCTATAGCCGCGCAGATTATGGGTTGAATAAAGAGCAGTATTGAACACATATCCATAATGAGAAACTACCACGGGGACTGGTTCAGTGTGTTGCCGCGTGCAGTAGAGCTGAAAAAAAAAATGGGCAAATTACTTGGTCCTGCTGACATGCATGATGAGCGGAGGCGAGAAAAATAACAAGTATCGGACCTCCAGACGGAGCACCGATTCATGAGAAACAAAGATGCATGCCGTCGTTTTCTTCGCCTATAGCACAACTAGATAGGCATGATTAAATTTTGTCGTTTTAATCCTGGGCACGTTTTCCTGTAATTCAGACGAAAGTAAAGTCTTCCTTTTTTTCTTCTGTTTTTCTTGAAGTAGGCTATGTGACATTGTTTTTTGTTTTGTTTTTCAAATGAAATTGCAGTAAAAAATGATGCGTTTGGATTTGATGTTTGTGTTTTTTCTTATGTAGAGGCTGCAAGAATAGATACCATGCATGTGTAAGAATTTGATTTCTGGAGATCATGTGTGGTTTCAAAGTCAAAGGAAAACTGCCATTGTTAGAGTAGGCCTAAGCCTACTGTCTGGATTTTGAAAGTATGCTTTCGCAAAAAGTCGATGATAAATATATAGAATTGAAATGTTATGAATTAACCAAAGTTGTGTTTGATGGGTGTTGCATTCCATCTCATTTTGTTCAGAAATTCATCTCCCCTCCAATTGTGTCTTACACCAGTGACTGTGTTCGCAATTTAAAAAAAAATGAAAAATACAAGCTTTTCACTCCAGTCAAATTAAAGTCATGTGTTAAAAAGATTGCCTCTTTGTTCTGTCTTGCCTTGCATTTAGCTGGTTTTGAAATAGGTAAACTCAGAGTTGCTGACTCGAGTCATGTGACTTGGACTCGAGTCGGACTCGAGTCGCTATTTTTGTGACTTGTGACTTGACTTGTAAATACCAGCTTTGACTTGTGCCTTGAGTTGGACTTGCAAACAATGACTTGTGACTTGACTTGGGATTGCAAAAAATGACTTGTTACCAACCCAAGTCAGACGCTACTCGAGCGACCCAATACACTTTAATTAAGCTATTATACTTTTAATTAGCTTTTTCATTCCAGAAAATAGACCTCAGTGACTGAATCCAGTAAAATGAATAGTCCCACTAGTTTCAAAAGTTTTCAATGAGACTGTCGCAACAAACTACAGTTTTCAATGACCAATTGTCTCTTGCTTAATGTATTGGTTGAACAAACTATGAAAGGAACCTTAGTAGTGTGTATAGTCTTAAGCGACCTAATTTATGCATGAGGCCTAAAACAAAGGGCCTCATTTACATATCAATTGGGTGGCCGGACTGTAGGATATAGAGACCAAAATAATTTTGGTCTGTAGGGGTCGAAATCACCGCGCGGATTGCTTCTGGTAGCAGACCAGTAAATAAACTTCCATAGACCCCAATGGTAAATGCTCCCACTTCAAAAAATCGGGGAAAATACTCACAACTCTCCAAGGTGTTCAAGACACACATCAAATTAAAGCTTATGTCATCATCTTTCATTTTCTTTTCAATTTTTGAGGGGTCAACTGATGACTTTTAGGAGAAATTTCCCTCTGAAGATGATCACCCCTGAAAATAGTCCTGAAGCCCATCGCCATTTTGAAAAACGATGCCTACACTCCATTGCAAAATAGAGCGCTTTTAGGGTCCAAATTACATCAAAATTACACAGAACTGCAAGCTCCCAGTCCTGTGCACGGTTTCCACCCATATTTTTTACAAACCCTCAAGTTCATGGCCCAGCATGCTCAAATACCGAAGATTTTGAGGGCATGCAAATCGTGATTTGGCCGGCGCAGGCAATTTCGGACCGATTTACTGGTCTGCACCCTATAAAGAAGCGAGGTTTTGAAAAATTTCCCCAAACCTCTTGTACGGTACGAGGAAGGATGGATGACTCATATTTCATCAAAAAATTGCGAGAAAAAAAATCTCTGACTGCGATTTCTGGCCTGAAAACAAGCCCTCTGTTTGCGGCTACCTTACTGTAGGGCGCCCCCAACGGGCGTTAATTAAGTTTTTGCTCCTTCCGACCCCAAATTACACCCCCCCCCCCCCTTGTTCGCTCGAAATTGCTGTGATCGGAGGACGGTCCATCGGCCGTATTCAGATTTTGGGCGCATTTGTTGCGGAACCGCCATTGGTGACCCCTTTTGAAACGTTGCCCCCCCCCCCCCCCAAGGTTCTGCCCCCCTGAAAAAAAAACCACTCCGCAAACATTTGACAACAAACGATGGAAGGCGCCATTTTGAAACTATAAAGAAGCGAGGTTTTGAAAAATTTCCCCAAACCACTTGTACGGCACGAGGAAGGATGGATGACTCACTTTTCATCAAAAAATTGCGAGAAAAAAATCTCTGACTGCGATTTCTGGCCTGAAAACAAGCCCTCTGTTTGCGGCTACCTTACTGTAGGGCGCCCCCAACGGGCGTTAATTGAGTTTTTGCTCCTTCCGACCCCAAATTACCCCCCCCCCCCTTGTTCGCTCGAAATTGCTGTGATCGGAGGACGGTCCATCGGCCGTATTCAGATATTTGGCGTATTTGTTGCGGAACCGCCATTGGTGACCCCTTTTGAAACGCTGCCCCCCCCCCAAGGTTCCGCCCCCTGAAAAAAAAAACACTCCGCAAACATTTGACAAACGATGGAAGGCGCAATTTTGAAACTATAGGTAACAGACCAGTAAATAAACTTCCATATACCCCAATGGTAAATGCTCCCACTTCAAAAATTCGGGAAAAATACTCACAACTCTCCAAGGTGTTCGAGACACACATCAAATTAAAGCTTATGTCATCATCTTTCATTTTCTTTTCAATTTTCGGGGGGTCAACTGATGACTTTTAGGAGAAATTTCCCTCTGAAGATGATCACCCCTGAAAATAGTCCTGAAGCCCATCGCCATTTTGAAAAACGATGCCTACACTCCATTGCAAAATAGAGCGCTTTTAGGGTCCAAATTACATCAAAATTACACAGAACTGCAAGCTCCCAGTCCTGTGCACGGTTTCCACCCATATTTTTACAAACCCTCAAGTTCATGGCCCAGCATGCTCAAATACCGAAGATTTTGAGGGCATGCAAATCGTGATTTGGCCGGCGCAGGCAATTTCGGACCGATTTACTGGTCTGCACCTTATAAAGAAGCGAGGTTTTGAAAAATTTCCCCAAACCTCTTGTACGGTACGAGGAAGGATGGATGACTCATATTTCATCAAAAAATTGCGAGAAAAAAAATCTCTGACTGCGATTTCTGGCCTGAAAACAAGCCCTCTGTTTGCGGCTACCTTACTGTAGGGCGCCCCCAACGGGCGTTAATTAAGTTTTTGCTCCTTCCGACCCCAAATTACACCCACCCCCCCTTGTTCGCTCGAAATTGCTGTGATCGGAGGACGGTCCATCGGCCGTATTCAGATTTTGGGCGCATTTGTTGCGGAACCGCCATTGGTGACCCCTTTTTGAAACGCTGCCCCCCCCCAAGGTTCTGCCCCCCTGAAAAAAAAACCACTCCGCAAACATTTGACAACAAACGATGGAAGGCGCCATTTTGAAACTATAAAGAAGCGAGGTTTTGAAAAATTTCCCCAAACCACTTGTACGGCACGAGGAAGGATGGATGACTCACTTTTCATCAAAAAATTGCGAGAAAAAAATCTCTGACTGCGATTTCTGGCCTGAAAACAAGCCCTCTGTTTGCGGCTACCTTACTGTAGGGCGCCCCCAACGGGCGTTAATTGAGTTTTTGCTCCTTCCGACCCCAAATTACCCCCCCCCCCCCCTTGTTCGCTCGAAATTGCTGTGATCGGAGGACGGTCCATCGGCCGTATTCAGATATTTGGCGTATTTGTTGCGGAACCGCCATTGGTGACCCCTTTTGAAACGCTGCCCCCCCCCCAAGGTTCCGCCCCCCTGAAAAAAAAACACTCCGCAAACATTTGACAAACGATGGAAGGCGCAATTTTGAAACTATAGGTAACAGACCAGTAAATAAACTTCCATAGACCCCAATGGTAAATGCTCCCACTTCAAAAATTCGGGAAAAATACTCACAACTCTCCAAGGTGTTCGAGACACACATCAAATTAAAGCTTATGTCATCATCTTTCATTTTCTTTTCAATTTTCGGGGGGTCAACTGATGACTTTTAGGAGAAATTTCCCTCTGAAGATGATCACCCCTGAAAATAGTCCTGAAGCCCATCGCCATTTTGAAAAACGATGCCTACACTCCATTGCAAAATAGAGCGCTTTTAGGGTCCAAATTACATCAAAATTACACAGAACTGCAAGCTCCCAGTCCTGTGCACGGTTTCCACCCATATTTTTTACAAACCCTCAAGTTCATGGCCCACAGCATGCTCAAATACCGAAGATTTTGAGGGCATGCTAATCGTGATTTGGCCGGCGCAGGCAATTTCGGACCGATTTACTGGTCTGCACCCTATAAAGAAGCGAGGTTTTGAAAAA